GCCTTCGGGCCCGGTCGCCGTAGCTGGGGCCGAGGCCGGGGCTGTGGCCGTGCCCCAGGGGTGACTCTTGGCCTGGGCCTGTGCTTTGGGGGAGCGCGGCTGCAGCGTCCTGTGGAGTTTGCAGGCGTTTTCCAGAGAGGGGCAAGGGTGGGAGGGTGTAACTGCAAAATCGCCACGGGTGTAAGTTCAGCTAAGGTACATTTCGTGTGTTTTTCTGTGGAGAGTCTTAGAGTGCGTCTGTCATGGTGTCTCCATCTTGCCACCGTGCCTGAAGCAGTGTGTCATCCCTCATAAGTGGTACTTGCTCAGGATGGGAGAGTTGTGGCTTAAGCGCTCTGTTCAGGTTATGCGTTTCCTACAGATCTTCTAGTGTATTTAGAGAAGACTAGGGGACACTAAGATGCATGTACTTATAGTTGAGGTTTCACACGAGAAAAAGTAACTTAATCTGTAGATATAGTAGTGGCTTACATACCTTAAGAAAATCAGAAAAGTGCAGTGAATTTCAGCAAATTGTCACTAGTGTAAAAAAGCGTCTGACAAACCTGTAGGAAATAAAAGGTATTTGGACTATTAAGGTATCATGGAGAACATTAAAGCATTACTCGGGTTTTGGAACAGTCTTTTCAAAAGAGCGTGGTTGAAATAAACATGAGCCATTGATACAATGAGCAAAGTATTGACTTAACTGGGGCAAGCTAGAAGAGATGCTGAACTCCAGAACACTCACTGTAATACTGATGAGATAGTATTATACTGTGTTACATACATACCCCGTTGCTCTATTCCTCTAAATCCTTCTTGGCCCCTTTGTTGCTGGTAGCATACTTTGTTTCATCTGTGTTTTTATTTTTCCCAGTGATGGGAACATTCCCTGGGAGCTGTGTTGTTCCATATGCAGTAATGTTGGAAGAGCTAGTAAAAACAGTAGTGAAGGGGGGTAAATGGTTTCTTAATAAATTGTTCACTTACAGAAGGACTTTTCTGTTACACTTTTTTTGTATGTATATAAAACCAATAATATTTTCCGTAAGTATTCATGGATTATGAGAAAAGAGAATGCTGGTTCTGAAGAGAAGAATAATTTTCAAGGTCAAACTTACGTGTTTAAAGCATAGGTGGCCTTTTTTTGTGAGACTTTGCTTTAAATAAAAGGTTAATCATATATAAATATAATTGTATAATATACATAAAACACAATAATATGATAAATAGGATCATTATTTCAAGTGCGTGATGTGTGCAAAATAAAATGACTGAAATAAATAACTGACTTGTGTCCCTGTTTTTTCTCAGCCTTCTAGCAGTGGCCGAGCTGCAGAGCTCCTCGCCAAAGAACGTGGAACAGTGCCTGGGTTTATTGGTTTTGGAACATCTCAAAGTGATCTAGGATACGTTCCCGCAGTTCAAGGAGCAGAGGAAATAGACAGCCTTGTGGATGCTGATTTTCGAATGGTGTTGCGAAAACTTTCTAAAAGGGATATCACAACAAAATTAAAAGTAGGTGTATCCTTTGTCCCTCATAAAATTTTTTTCATTGGAAAATAATACATTTTTCTTAAGGATGGGAGAGGAACACATCAAGGTAGCTAATATTAATTTGATAGTGGTAGATTTGCTAGAACTGTGATCCAGGGTATATTTTAGAGGACTTATAAAAAGGTCCATTATGCAATACTGATGGAGCATTCATAGAATTAACTCTGTAGAAACTCCATTGCAAGAAATGAATTGATTTTTGAAAGAGAGTTGGAATGTCTGGTAGAAGCTGCTAAATTACAGAACATACCTATGACTTCTTAAATCATGCTTGATTTTAGGCTATGCAAGAGTTTGGGACAATGTGCAAGGAAAGAGAAGCGGAAGTTGTTAAAGGCGTTCTTCCTTACTGGCCAAGAATTTATTGTAAAATCTCACTAGTAAGTATTAAAGTATCTAAATTAAAACTTCTCTGGATACATCCCGAGAAAAGCTTGAAGTCAGTCTTTATTGATATATCTGACTTTGTTGAATTACTGACTTGTTCTAGGAAAAACATGAAGTTTAAGGAAAGTAGTGTTCTTTATGGTGATATTTCCATATTGGCAGTGGGTGGAAGTTTGAACTGTTGATGCCTGGACTGTATTTGCTGGATGGAGATAGCTGTTTGTTAGACCTTTATCTTAAAAAGATGACAAGATATTTCTTTTCATGGGGAGCTCTTTTATGTAGATTCCACAATAACTAAAGAGAATGTACTACTCAGTTAACATAATTATAAATTCTTTTGATCTAGGACTAACATCTGACTAGACTTAATACTTAAAAATAAAAAACCCTAAACCCCACAAAAAAAACCCCAAACAAACCAACCCAAACATGAAGAGACCATGTGTAGATAGATAATCCATAATTTTCTGATATATTTTAATAAATCTCCAAACTATCTGGACTGGCTACTGTTGGAAATGTGATATTAGACAAAATGAATCACTACTCTGATCCATTAGAGTGATTCCTAGTATTCCTTTCAGGACCCAAGAGCACAGAAAGTCATGATGTTGTAAATTCATATATAGTTAATAAATAATGATGTACAGTTTGTTTAGGCTTGTGGGTTTTTTTAATCCTAAAACCGTCTTCAAGGCTTCTTGCCTCTTGCCTTTCTGTTAAATTTTTGTATAAAATGGAAGTAGAAACTGTTGTTAGGGACATCAGGAAAAGGTGATTAATTTTGACTGTACAGCACATCAGGAATACGATGCTGCTAAGCTAGGACTCTTCCTCTATCTTGGGATACCAAGACTTTTTTGTCGCTGTTACATATTTTCAAATCTATAGAGCCCAATTCACTGCAAAAAATGGCTGAGCTTTTTTTTTTTGGTCAACACTTCTGCGTTGAAGTACCTGGCATCAAAGGTACATTTCTTAAAACAATAAACCTTTCTGTTTTTCCTTTTTTTTTTTTTTTTTTTAATTTGAAACAGGATCATGATCGCCGTGTTCGAGAAGCAACTCAGCAATCTTTTGAGCAACTGATTCTCAAAGTAAAGAAACACTTAGCTCCTTACTTAAAAAGTATCATGGGATACTGGCTGATTGCTCAATGTGACACTTACTCCCCTGCTGCTTCTGCTGCAAAAGTAGCTTTTGAAAAAGCTTTTCCTTCAAGCAAACAACCTGAAGCCTTAGTATTCTGTAAAGATGAAATTCTTAATGTGAGTTTATATTTTTGTATTTCTTTCAGGTGTTGTGTTGAGTAGGTGTCAACTTTTATGACAAGTTTAAAACACATCCTGCCTCCAGCTATCTGTCATGGTTGAAATTATTTCTCACCTGAAACTTTGCTCCTGCTAATGTGGAGAGAAGGCTGGGGCAAAGACCCATCCTCTATTTTTTGATGTGGGATTAGAATGACTGGAAGCAGAAGAATTAAGTGAATTTTCATGTGTGCATTTCTGTGTAATGATGTTCAGTCATCATGTAATGTTGCTGACTGATGAAATAATGATTCCAGTGTATAGCTGCAGTGGTAAAGGATTAAAGAATGCTGAGCAGTGTTTCAGAGAGCCCCTACAAGTTTAGTTCTGACCAAGGTTAATGCTCTTGTCTAGTCGACATGAAAGTCGTTATGAAACTGAATTGACTGAATTAAAAAAGGTGTAAGTTTGCATTGCTGGCCCATCATATGCAGTTAACCATTTGGTTTTGTCTCAGTTTGGCTTCTTTATACCAGAAGCGTGTTGGCATAGGATTACCAGTACTATGAAGTCTTGATTCAAACAGTACCACAGGTACTGTGTTCAGCAGGAGTCAGTTAAATTATGCTCCTGATCATTACCATATCTAAAATGTGTTTAAAGTATTTGTCTTGGAGGTTGTGAAGTTTTATTGTAGGGCTGTTTTTGAATAATGTATAGACCATAAATATTAGATTCTCATGTGTATATATCTTTTTTCCCCTAGGTACTTCAAGATCACCTTCTGAAAGAAACTCCTGATACACTCAGTGATCCCCAGTATGTTAGCCTGCTTTAATCTATATTGTGTAACTCTTTGTCTGTACTGGGTTCTCTGTCCTGGAGATAGTGGATTTAGTTTTGTTTCGACAGAGTAGTTATTTGAGTCCAGATCCCAGCAAATTTCATTGAGACGAAAGTATAAATGCTTTTGAAAGTGTTATCAGTTGTCTAATTATTGTTTCAGCTCTTTTAGGAGTAGCATTTTTTAATAGCTGGAAGATGAGATGACTTGGAACTCTCTTTTCTAACACTTTATGATGTCATTTGGTAGCTTTAGAACCTATGGAAAGTTTATATGTTTACATAGCTGACATCAGAAATCAAAAGAAGAACAGAAAAACTGAAGACAGTTTAGTTCAGGCAGTTTAGAAGAGCTTGAGAAGCCTATTGATTTATTTATGGTTCAATTTTTTTCGTTTTGTTTTCCGAGAACTGTACCAGAGGAAGAAAGGGAAGCCAAATTTTTCCGAATTCTGACCTGTTCCTTGTTAGCTTTAAAAAAGTTGCTTAGCATGTTGCCAAAG